ACTCGAGCGGACAACTGTTTTGGGTGCCGCCTATGCTCGTGAAATCCCTGTGCGATGTGGATATAAGCGACTGGCCATACGATGAACAAAATTGTTTCCTACGGTTTGGCTCCTGGACTCACGACGGGCTGTCCATAGATATAAGCAATGGTTTGCATTCAATGATATGACATCAATTAATATTGTCACTAACTTTATTACAATTTAAATTATAATTAATAACTAAAAAGACAGTAAGATTTCACTGAATGACTACTGGAAGAGCCCGGAATGGGATTTAATAGACTCGAGGAGTGAGCGCCGGGACTTTTACTTCGATTGTTGTCCCGAACCCTATCCAGACGTCACTTTCTACCTGAGACTGAGACGCAAGACATCCCTCTATCACTTCACTGTCTTCATACCGGTCACGACTGCTGTCATTCTTAATCTATTAATGTTTTGGTTCTCAATCCGATCTTCTGTCAGATTCCTGTTGTCATCACTCAGTCTATTGATGTTAACCGTAATTCTGCTGTATTTGGGATCAAAGTTTGGTTTGGGAGCAAATAGCATCCCTTACGCCAGTATGTGACTGATGAGTCAAAAATTAATAATAATCATAAAATCATAAATTGTATGTTTATTGTAAATTACAGTCCGTTACATAAGCCGAACCATTTTGACAATTGGATTAACACTGGTTTGGACGACAATTGCATATAATTTGCTAAATATGAACATTCAATTGCCGGACCCTTTGAGGCGACTCACGGCTCCCACGGAATGGCTGGTCATTCATTCAACCCATGAAAATAGTGATACAATGGTTTTGACTAACGATCAACAGGTTATCAATAATCCTAAAGACAAATCTTTTGAAGTCTTTATTTTATTAATTGATAAATATTACAAACCTTATAAAAAATAACAATAATAAAGTAACGTAGATATTAAATTATGTTTATTAGAGATATTAATTTTTTTAATAAGGCTATCAAACAATCACTGTAAATTTAGGTAATATAAATTCGTATTGAATTGAAGTAAATTACATTTTACTGTTATTAATAAATAGCAGGAAATAATATATTACTGGATGCTAACTTTTATATCAATTTATTTTAAATCTTATTTTAAACTACTATTTTTATAAACAATCCAGTACAACTTTATGTGTAAGCTATAATTTTATATTTACTATAATTGTTATTGTCTTAAGACTAAACTTTAACTTTTAATAATAAAGAACTTAATAAATTTCATAAATACAGTATGTTATGTGTTAAGCCTAAATCTTTTAATAATTAATGGGTGTTTTGCTATAATTTATCATTAAGTCATTTAATATTATATAGAAATTCACTATATTGTGTCAAATCTTGTAAAGAAATGTAATCAAATAAAAATATATGTAATAAACCAATGTTGTGTTCAATTACAGTGCGATCTATTTATGAATTGTATGATACTGTATTACTAACAAACATACAATAAATTAAGAATTAAGTTATTTACAGATATAGTTATTTTCTATAGCGCCATTCATAACACATTGTTCAAAATATTTAAATATATTCAAATGAACTCTTTTATTGTTTTAATTATATTTAGTGTAAGTGCTTTTTTATACGTAATAGCAAATACTAACGATGAAGGTTTGTAATTTAAATGCATATTTAGGTTTATTTAATTATTATCATTACTGTATAATACAAAATAATTAATCGATGATAAACTGTGGTAAAGATGCGGTCAAGAGGTTAAGAAATGATCTGTTTAAAACCCGAAATTACGATCCAATGGTAATACCAGTGAAAAATTGGAGTCATACGCTCACTGTTAGCTTTGCTTACTACTTAATCAAACTGGTTGATTTGGTAATTTTGATCATTTACAATTACGTTTATAATAATTGGAAACATTCATTTAATACTACAGTAATAATTACTTTTAGGACATTAACACACATATTCTGACGACCGAGGGTTGGCTTTTAATGATGTGGTTAAGTAGAGTTATTTTATTAATATAGTTAAGATTACAATTAATAATAAGCTAGCTATAAATGTCACTAAAGGACTGACTCACACCTGACGTGGAAACCCGAAGATTACGGGGGAATCTCTACAATCCGTGTGAATGCGGATGAGGTGTTTAAACCGGATATTATGCTTTACAACTCAGCGGATGTCCTATCAATGAAAGACAACTTAATTCAGACTAAATTATTATTGTTTTCAAACGGACGACTTTTTTGGGAACCGCCAATACTTGTGAAATCCCTGTGCGATGTGGATATAAGCAACTGGCCATACGATGAACAAAATTGTTTCCTACGGTTTGGCTCCTGGACTCACGACGGGCTGTCGTATCTATATTCGTTACCAAACGTAATGACAAATATTATATTACAAATTTAATATCTTATAAATATAAGGCGTACAATACAAATGACATATAATTAAGATATGTAGATATATGACATGTTATAGATAACTTTGTATTCTATTGTATTAATTTGATTGCAATTTCCAAACTCTATACTTACAAACTAAAAGACAGTAAGATTGTAGTGAAGAAGTTATGGAAGAGCCCGGAATGGGATTTAATAGACTCGAGGAGTGAGCGCCGGGACATATATTACGATTGCTGTCCCGAACCCTATCCAGACGTCACTTTCTACCTGAGACTGAGACGCAAGACATCCCTCTATCACTTCACTGTCTTCATACCGGTCACGACTGCTGTCATTCTTAATCTATTGATGTTTTGGTTCTCAATCCGATCTTCTGTCAGATTCCTGTTGTCATCACTCAGTCTATTGATGTTAACCATAATTCTACTGTATTTGGGATCAAAGTTTGGTTTGGGAGCAAATAGTATCCCTTACGCCAGTATGTGACTGATGAGTCAAAAATTAATAATAATCATAAAATCATAAATTGTATGTTTATTGTAAATTACAGTCCGTTACATAAGCCGAACGATTCTGACAATTGGATTAACACTGGTTTGGACGACAATTGCATATAATTTGCTAAATATGAACATTCAATTGCCGGACCCTTTGAGGCGACTCACGGCTCCCACGGAATGGCTGGTCATTCACTCGACTCATGAAAATAGTGATACAATGGTTTTGACTAATGATCAACAGGTTATCAATAATCCCAAAGACAAATCGCTTGAAGTCTTTATTTTATTGATTGATAAACTAATGTTTGGAATATTTTTTATTGTTATTATTTCATTGCATCTATAATTTAATACAAAGATATACCGTAAAATATTTTATTTTATATTGTAACTAAATTGAAAGATACAAAATAAATAATTGTCATGTCTTACATTATATTTATGTCATAATGATATTTTGACTTTGGTATAATTGTAACCGTAGTTGATTATAATATACTTATGACATATTGCCAAATCTATTTTATTGATACTATATATTAAATTATAGTATCAGGTTTTAAGTAATTATTAATAGACAAAATTATGCTTTAGTTATAGCAAATAAATTACTTAAACCTAATTGAAAACAATTATTAACCAATAAATCAAATTAAAGACAGCAAACATAACGGGAAAAATAATGCGACACTTCCTATCGATAGACTCAGCGATTTCAACCGGAGTTTTCTTCAGGGGGTCGTATGAATTGTCCGGACTTATATCAAAGTTGGGGGTCTGAGGGGTATCGGGAGGGGTTACGATGAAGTTATGTTTTTTCAATGAAGGACTGCCGGGAATCATCAGGGTTGGCCTTTCATTTAATTTGGGAGACCGGGGAACTTTAATCTCAATGCCTTCGAACGGAAATCTTTCTGAATTCTGAAAAAATAATAACCATGCTCATTTATGTATCATGTACATTTTCACATGTCATGTCATTTTGCATACTTTTGATGCACATAATTGTTTGCCATCGTTGGCAGTGAACGTAAACTGCGAGTCTTCTGACGCCAACGACAACTGACTCTGACTTATATTTCTTCGCAATGTTTTAATTTCTCGGATTTTTCTCTTCTCAGCCCTCGATATGTATGTAATGACTGAGAACTCAATCAATGACAAGAAAATGAATCCTATATTATATAACAAATGATTGAAATATTTAAATCAAATTACTAAACCAATTGTGTTAGCAATATATTAGCAAGGTATTAGCAATACCAGTGCACACGACAAACCAAATGTCGAGAGCGTTCACGTAGGAAATGGTGGGCAGTCTCTCTCGGGCTTCTTTAGCGACCGTCACAAACGTCAACATCGTTGTGATGCCTAATGTTATGCGCGCCGGAGTGGCCGTTATATCCATCCAGAAGGACATCCACGACACGATTATGACCAGAAATGTTGGCAAATATATATCCAGCAAATATCGAGTCCACTCGCGCTTCAGATAAAACACCACTGAAACTGAACTGAAGTTTTCGTCTTTTGTTTTGATGCTTTCACTCTTCAAACGAATTGACTGAAGAGCAAAACCAGTCATATAGAAGTTGGTGTCTGAGGTAAAGGACTTCTCATCTGTTGTCCAGTCGACTAACATGTGGTCATCCGATAGATCGCTGGATATGAAGGAGACGTCACATACTTGGGTATCAAATGGATAATATTGGAAATTCATTTGACAGTATAGATCCAAATTGAGTCTAAATAGTATCCATAAACATTAATAACATTATTTTGTAAATAAAAATATATATTTGGATTAACCTTTTTCTGACTTTAACGTATCCATCAGTGTTGACCCTTAAGAGCACAATCTTTGCGTCCCTGTCCAGAGCGGACGGATTCTTGTTGTTGGGAACCCTTAGTTTTGGTGACCAAACTCTATCCAAATGCCATTCACTGCCTTCAATGGTAAGCTCACCCATAGACATACAATGGCTATCATTGTATACAAGTCTGGGGTCCATCCACTCCAAGTCAATCAATAGATTTACATTGAATTCCGATTCCTTTTGGTTAACCGAAGCCATTGAATACATTTCAATACTGACGTTCACTAATACCTTGCTGTCGACTATAAAGACAATTGATATCTACATTAGAAATGCTTTGAATTTGGGGATAAATCATGATTTTGACTAACAGGTTGGACGCAACCATTTATGATATCGCGTTTCATTAGTTAAATGAAGAAATCTGTTCTCCCTGACCACTGGGTCAGCCATTTCACAGGATATCTTGCCATCACAAACATTCAGAAATTGGATCAAAACTAATATTAGAATTATTTTGTGAAATATGAATATTTTGAACAAATAAGGATTCATTGTTAAAATGAATATATGTTATAAATTTGGTGTGTTGCCTACAAATTCTGTAACAATGCTTTTATATACGGTATGTACAAATTAATAGTTTTATTACCCCTTTAATTCTTTACGCACAAACAGAATCCAGGCGCTCAAAGATTAACGGATTATCTTCAGTCAAGGTATTAATTTTGTAATGAGTTTGAAATTATATAATGCTCTTTATTACGTTGATATGTTATAGATGACTATCTCAATGTAATATATTAAAATTAAAACCATAACAGTTATAATCCCAAAAATAATAAAATATATTCTATTATAATAATATAAAGTTAGAAAACTATTAAGATCATTATTTTGTAACCATTTGCGAAATAATCCTTTTATTCTGGTACAATATATTTTATTTACGTATTGTAGTATAAATTGCGTAGATTGTCATTTTGTGCAAACTAAGTAATGTTTTTTTTATATTAATTTACTTTATTAAATTTTTATTAAATCTATAATTATTTATTTACATCAAATTAGTAAATAATATTGTTTGAAATTAGATAATAAATAAATAAATGAAAAATAAATAAATTGATAAAATTTAGAAATTAATTTACAAAATAAGTTGTTTACTGCATATGTATTGAATTCGTAGAAATGATTATCAATTTAGACACAATCGTCGCTGTGGTTTGATTCATGCCAATGAAATAAAGTGATTTGCATCAACTTTAACTTCAATATACTGTATAAAAGGATTAACATTTAGGTGAACAATATAAATAGACAAACAATTAGTTTAGTTAGCCTTATACTGTACATTAAACAAAATGTACTGTACACTTTGTTGTTTGCAGCTACTGTACCTTATTTTATGGAAACTTGGGTTTAAAGAGTTATTTTAAAAACAATAGATTACTTAAAAGTTATGTCATGTGATGGACTTTGAAATTCTCTACACTATTGAATCACTAATGATAAACTAATACATGTACATGATACAAATGTTGCAAATACTTTTTCTTAGTTTTCAGAAAATAATACCTTATACTCAAATTTAGTAGTAACTAAACAGAGTATCTAAATATTAAAAGTTTTGTTCTACAGTATAATTCAGAAAATCAGCAAATTGTACAAAAATAATTGTTTATTTATTTATCATTGCTTTCCTGTTATGGAAACACATTTATTTGCGAAAGTTTTCCTAAATTGTTATTTTGAAAAAATCATAAGATAGCAAATTCCTATACTATATAATAAGCAATTACCAATACATGGCTATTAAGGCATCGTTCAAAAAAATCGTACGATTCTGTAAACTCATTACAATATCCCTTCAAACATAAAACTTTAAGACTATCCTATTATAAAACAATATACGAATTACAAACTAATATATACTGTATCATATATGAAGACAATTATAAGTATACGTAATGTTATGAACGACGTGTGAATCGTCTAATGGTTAGCAATAAATCGATAATAAATTGATAATTTATGAAAAGAGCAAACATTCAAAACTAATAAATATCGTCTATGAACACAATTATAAGTATACGTAATGTTATGAACGACGTGTGAATCGTCTAATGGTTAGCAATAAATCGATAATAAATTGATAATTTATGAAAAGAGCAAACATTCAAAACTAATAAACTTCCTGAACACCACTCATATGAACACCACTTACTGTCATATGATATCTGTTATTATATACCGAACTGAACTCGTATTGAAGTGAATGCAACAAAAGTGGAAATCTTTTTGCAGTGAAAAGAAGTGTCATTTCACTTATTTAAACACATATTTAAACATTTTTCCTAAGCTTTAATTGTTAAATAATTTGAATGATCAGTCGAGTTAGGGTTCAGTATTATAACTAAATGAACAGACAATGTATTGCTTCAAACTTGTGGTGTTTTGTGCGACAATCACTTATTGCTCCTCATTTACCATCACTCCAACCAAATACCCACCTATTAGTCCATCTGTGAAGTCACTCATAGCTACCGTCCCTACAGTTTTGAGTCAATGGAAAAATGATTTCATTAACGACAAGGTTTGACCATATATTCAGATTATAATCAGTAGTCTTACAGCTTACAGTTCACAATCTAAACTGTACCTGTAGTTATTGTTTTCATTTACTGAAAGTCAATCAAAACTAAAGTTTTTGCATTTATTTTAGTAACTAGAATTTAGTTAGAGATTTTATTTTGTATTTCATGTATATTTAAATGTTTTAATAAATATTTCAAAAACAATTTTTAAAAGTCACTATTTAAAATTCATTTACTGTAAATATATCACTAAAATTTATTATAATGGTAGTAAGTCAAATTTTTAAAAATCTTTTGAATGAATTAAATTAAATTTTAACTTTATTTTTACAATATTATCTATTTCATTTGTATACAATAATTTTTATTGAATTGAATGAATAGGTGTATGAAATCATATCATTTGTGGGCAAAGTTGGAGTATTGATCTATTCATGCCTATCAATCACACTGTTATGCGATTCATATTTTGTGCCGTCCCTTGAATTCATCGGAGAATGTAAGCTATTATACCAAACAATTTTCGATAATTAAATGTTTTGTAATTAAATTTCTATCAATTTCTATACAGATCTTCATCTATCGCCTGATATAACGGGTGCGCTCTTCACGCCGTTGGGAACCGCCGGACCTGAAGTCTTCTCCAGTATTGTCGGTGTGTTTGTCACTCAAGGCAATATTGGGACAGGTATTCAATAATACTCTAAAGTCAATGCCAATAGAATTATCTGATTTCATAGCAAACAAATGTTATCAAAGGTTTGAATAGAAAATCCCAATTGAAATACTGGGCTAACCCTCACTTATAAAATGATAGATATCTTTGTTGGCAAAACTTCAATAACCCAATTACCATATCTAACTAATTATATCTTATACTTTAGGTGCAATCATTGGTTCGGCGGTATTTAATTTGCTGATAATCCCGGCCGCCTGTTCCCTAACATCCATCTACTTTCGCGGACAACCATTAAAACTAAACTCAATTACTATTGTCAGAGATCTCATACTTTACATAATTTCAATTATTGCACTAATTCTGGTCATTCAGGATAACAAAGTCGAGATGTAAGACAATTTCTAGACACAAAAGTTATTTTCAATTAATTTAATACTAAATTAAAATTCTTTTAACTACAGAGTGGAGGCCTCGATGTTAGTCCTATTGTTTGTGCTAATTGTGGTGTTTCTCTACTATAACGCGCAACTCATGGATAAACTAAAGGCGGCCCTCAAGAAGTCAAGTGTTGAGCACAAGAACTGCGACTGTCCTGAAGAGGAATGCAATGGCAACTGTTCCCAAGCCATAGCATACAATGAGAAAACCCCATTACTATCGCCGCCCAATGGGTTACAACGACCCCTTTCCATACAATACGCGCCCGGATATAAAGAGATGTCGTATGAGATCCTGAACACCTCTTTGGAGACAACCAGTGATATGAGTGTCAAATTGGATGAGGAAAGTAAGGGCTCGTGTTGTGGCTTCCTGTACAGCGTGGTGATGAGCCCGGTGCGATTCCTCATGTACCTCACTATTTGCAAACCAACCCAAAAGCTATTTGCTGTCACTTTTGTGCTGTCGATTGGATGGTTGGCACTGTTATCCTACTTTACGGTCACAAATGTCGAGTTTATCAGTAAGTATTGATACTCAACCTCATTGTCACTGCAATTGCATTCACGCGATGAAAGAGTGAAGTGCTTTGAATCGATAGCTCTTATCATTAAAACACAATATAATGACTAATATATGAAATGTTCACTCAATCAGGCGACTACTTCTCAATGTCGGATACAGTGGCGGGGATGACCCTCTTGGCGGTGGGCAATGCTATGCCTGATTTGGTGACGAGTGTCATATTTGTCAAGAAGCGAGGGTTGGCTGATATGGCCATCTGTGGTGCCATCGCATCCAATCGGTTCGCAATACTCATAGGTCTGGGCTTTCCGTGGGCTCTCAAATGTCTCACCAATTGGGCCGTCAATAAGTCCTACTTCTGGAACTACATCCCACTCAACAGTAGTTCCCTTCCCTATACATCACTCGTATTACTGACGGCTATTGTTTTGCTATTTTTTAACTTTCGGTTTAATAATTGGGTTATGAATAAGAAGTTTGCGTTCATTTGTGTAGTCATTCACATAGTTTTCGTATCGATAGCTATATATTTAGAGTACGCGCTGTAAATGCCTTTTGTTTTGCGTTTTTATCACTTTTTTATCAAATATTTTAGGTTTATAGCCATTTGTTAAAAATACAGTACACTTTAATTGAGAGCTTTTATAAACTAATCTGAAATTATGAGTCTTTTAGACTTAAGTTGTAAATCATTTACATTTTAGGTTCACATGTCATTTGAGATAATAATAAATACCACTCCATACAGACCTTGAGCATTGAGTGCTAATTTACATCATGAGCCAAAAAAGTTAATAATTAGCATTGAAAATGTAAATCCTATTTACCTAAAACCTATATATTAAGCAATAATCCCTAACTTGTAAGACTCTGAACATTGATTGAGAAATAATTTATTTGAAACACCATTCCTCTCAAAAAAGCACTGAATTATGAATCTCTTTGATTGTATTCAGTCATACAGTATCTAATGTCCGTAAAACTCATGAGATTTGGTGTGAGGGTAGGCCCGAGGCTTGACGTCCAGTATTACAGTCATATCGCCGAACGAATAGTCATTCTGTCGACAACTTACAGAATATTCTGTGTATTAGTGCTTATAAATGCAGTATTTCTTAAATAACTCATTAATGTTATATAATATTTGTATTATTTGATTATATTTAAGACTATTTATGGATTTTATATGTAATTAACACTAATTTATTTATATTAAATAAAATTTTAAATTAAACACAGTTAACGTTAACTCATTTATTTAAAAACTTCAAAACAGATGTCACTTTTGAGACATTTATTTGTAAACAAATAGTGTTTTTTAAAATTCAAAACTTTTGAACCAAAACTCAAATCAATTGGATTTAAAGGGATTACAAAGTGAATGAAATACCTATTAGTTTGCACTCAAAGTGTTTAATTCATTCATACATTTGATATACTATTAACACAAATGTATCGCAATATAAATCACAAGTTTTTAAAGCCATTGAATTGTGCGAAAAGTGATCGCAAAAAGTGGTGTCAAATGCATACTTGTGTCCAATACTTGTCCCCAAAAGTGGTCATCGATTTGCAATTCATGCCACAAATGAGTGCTCAGGAGGTGTGGCACGTGTCCACACAAATCCAGTCTATACTCGCATTAAATGGCAACAAATATAAGCAATCATTTGATTTGCATTTCACTGATTGTCACCAAAACACGCATCCATTGCAGACATACCTCAACACCAGTGTATTGAAGCCAACACTTCATCGCCACTCATATTTGGATGTCTTTCCCACCAATCGTTTGGTGTATTTGAGTGCCGACTCCCCCGACCCCCTCCTGGGCCTCAGTGCACACCATATCTACATAATCGGCGCCCAAACGGGACAGACATCACAACAGTGCCGGACCTACGAGAAGGCCCGAAGTGATGGCATCCGTGCCCTAAGACTGCCCATCGATGAGCACGTGGTGTGGGAGTGGAGGGATCAGCTGTTGTCCCCCTTCCAGACATTTGCCATTTTGTTGGACTATTACGTGACCCACGACTGGACCCAATCGGTGGTCAATAATGTCAACTCAGATATGATATCAAAGATATTGTGAACATATGATCA